GTCTGTGTGACGTCACACAGACAGGCATCTGAGATCGGCTCGATTTGAGATAGGGGTAAATATTTTAGTAGATAAAAAAAAACACTGGGTGGATTTTTATCATTATAGGGTGGTTGTGTACACACACTCCCAACACACATTTCAGTTCAAACAACTTGTAAAAGTGCATGTAGCATCCGATGACCCCTTTAAGAATGTGGTGCTATCAAATTATTCAGTTTATTTGATAATCCTGACCAATCTGACACTGTGAAAGCTTATTTCAGCCACAGAATAAAAACAAACTATAAATAAATAATAATAATCATAAATAATAATAAAAATGTTATTTTTTTATTGCACAATTCAAATTTTTTAGACTTGTATATATCTCAGAATTGGACATTTATATCAGAGCAATTGATAACTTGCAATTCTGAGAAAAAACTGTTGCAATTGCAAGATGTAAATTTTCAGTAACGAGTCAATAACTTGCATATAAACTTGCGATCTTAAGTTTAAAAAGTCAAAATTATCAGATGAAAAGTCACAATTACCTTTTTTTCTATTCCATGGTGGAAATAAGCTTCCATAAGACAGAGGACATTGACCAATGGCATGAGTTTAGGACAAGTGTTTGGGAAAGTTAACAAATGAAACCATATTGTAAAGTGTTCTAGCTAATTTTGTAGCTAGATTTTTTTGCATCCTAAATGCACAATTAGATTATAGCTTGATTGGAAATCATATATATTTACATAGATATTTTTTTTCTTTACACAAAGCATGTCTCCCAATTATTATAATCTCAAGCATGCTCTTCAGTGACACTGTTGTCTTTTTGGTAACCAAGTACACACACACACACACACACACACACAAAGAGAATGATAGAATACCTCAGGGAATCCGCAAGCATCAGGTACCCTAAAACACAGTTTGCCACTGTGCAACAATATGATCTACTTTACTGAGATACGATTAACGTACCTGAAGTCTTTGCGGTTGTAGAAGTCCCAGGCAGAGGCATGGCAGACCACCTCCCTTCCATCAGTGGGTTTCTCTAGCATGGCCTTGTCCCAAAACTCAGGAGGCATTTCGAGCAAACCCAGAGAGGTGAAGAACCCCTCGGCAACCCGGAACATGTGAGTGGCATTATAACCCTATGGGTACAAATCACTTTCTCACTCTCTGGTGCGCTCAGGATATTATTCACTCATCAAGATTCTGTAGCTTACTTTAGCAACCATGGTGTCCGTCACATCTACATTGGGCTTGTCAGGAAAAGGAATCATCATGTTGTAGATCTTGTTCCACGTTTGTGACCACATGTTGCCTGAAACAGAAACCAAACACAATTAGAACATCACCATGAGCATCCAAACTTCTTCTTGTTATATATATGATATATATTGTTATATAAGATGATCACAGTGTAGTAAACACAGTTTTGATATGATAAAAAATTATAATCACAATGTAGAAAACATGAAAAAAGTTGTAAAAGTTTACTTGAATTATATTATAAAGTCAGAATTATGTGATGTAAACTTTCAATTGCCTGTTGATAACTTAACATTCTGAGAAAAAAATGTCTTAGAAAAAGAATTGGGAGATGTAAACTCAGAATTCAGAGAAAAAAAGTCAAAATTATGAAGTGTTAACTCAGAATTCTGAGGGGAAAAAATATTAATAATTTGTTATGTTAATTATGTACTGTGTCTCATACCATGGTGGAAATATATATCATGTTTAACATTATTTGTAAAAACAACGCTAAATGATAACACTTTACAATGAGGTCTCATTAATTAATATTAGTTAATGCATTATATATTTTCATAAACAATTGTAACCAAAGATTAAGTGCATTATATTATTTGTATATTCTTTGTTATTGTGCATCTGAAACTGGTTGTTTGCAGTGTTTTAATGCATTATACTTTCTAAAGATGTAACAGTGAATAGATTTTATAATTTAATTTAGAACAGTTTTATAATGTATTATAACAATTATTTATGATATCAAACTATGCATTATAAGGTGCATTACAAGGCATAATGAATGCATTAAAAGTAATTTTATAATGCATTATATATACAGTATATACAAGCTCCAAGTAAAGTGTTACCAATGTGATAAATTATTAGGACTGGGCGATATGGCAAAGAAAATGTATATATATATATATATATATATATATAGACAGTTAATTATGGTTTAAACTACTGTGGTTTAAACTTTTTTTTTTTTTTTTTGTCAGAACATGATAAAACAGTTG